TAAAAATTGAGGCTGTGTGACCTCATGTGAGCATTTGAAATGAAACGGATAGAGTTATGTCAGTTCAAAAGGAGCATAATTTATGTACAAACGCACATGTTGTGAGGTAATGGTGGTATTTTAAAATACATTTTACTTTACATGTTTTTCTTATTACTATTTAAATCAATAATGTTGTATGCATTTAGGGAACTTCTGCCATTGCATGGGTCTACTGAAAAGAGAAGTGGTGGTCGTTTTATTAAGACCAAGGTTTCAAATAATATATAAGTTTCTATTTAATTCTATATGTTCTTAAAAGCATACAAATATATAATTCTGCAAGAACATTTTTCTTTTAAGAAAAACTATTAGAAATGATAATTAGGAATGGAAATTTATGATAATTTTGGCCAAAATTGTTATCATATAATTATATTGCTTTATTGGCCAGTAATCATGATTTACGTATATTATACATGTTTACTTACATGGAAACAACATGGATTTAGCTCAGATAATAACACAAAGGAAAACAAAAAAAATTTGCTTACTGATTGAACATAATCTATTGTAAGTTGTATTTCTGTTATTTGGTGTATTGTTATTGCTTATATAATAAAGAAATGAGTAATAGAAAATATAAATCCAATTTGATTGAATAATTCATAAGTTTTTGGATCCTTTTATCCATCCATCCACTAATCATTATAGTATATTAATTCTTTATTTAGACCTTTGTGAAACACACTTTTCATCTTTGCTTTACAAGTAATAAATTGTCTTTGTGGTTTGTTTTTCATAAGAAAGCACAAATCAAGACATGTAATTAGGAAACTTTTATGGCTTATGATGATGTTTTGCCTCTAATGTGGGCAGCGCAGGGATAGCTAATAACAGTTCTGGGAACTTATTCCAGATCGTATATTGTGCCATGTCTTTACAGGATTTAAGATTCCATCGTTCTTGCACAAGAATGTCTTTGTAACATTGGAAAAGGGAATGCTATATGTGGTGCTGTGATTTTGTTCTGATCTCTGGGCTTGTTTCTGCATGCAACCTATTTGGTTTGTTAACCTGCATGCCAGAAAATACATTTTGCATTATATGGTAAGAATTTGGAAAGTGAACTCCAGACTGTTTTGAGTTGTTCCACATTAATATGATCTGCATAGAAAGGCTCTTAAGAGATGGAGTTAATACAGAATGTAATCTCAAAAGAATGGTACGTAAAGCAGTCAGACTGCACAAAGCATGGGTGAAACTGAGTGCCCATTGAGCCCTGCTTTGGTTTTCCATATGTCTGTTTCACCATTCATGCAAATCATGCCTCTTTAAAGCTGCAGAATTGTAGTTGGGTCAAGGTTCAATGATAAGAGGCACATTTTCAGGTGTGACTTGTGTATAAATTAACTAAATTGGTCACTGTCTGGGCACACCTTGGATTAAGAAGGAATTTACAGCGTCTCCTGCATATTTATAGTGATATAAAAGCAATGAGGAAGTCTTGTTGATGGTAGATTATATTGAAATTTCACCAGAGATTAGATGCACTGTAATTTCTGAATGTCACAGATTGTTCCAAGTGAACTGATATGAATTATTTGCCTTCTTCTTTATTTGCACACCTGATAAAGATGCATTAGAAAACCTTGGAATAAAGGAATATTTGCTGAAAATAGCACAATCTCTCCTGGAAAGATTTGTTCTTTCTAAGCTCTGGAAATTGTTTTTAATTTCCTCTTCATCATGCATGGTCGGAAGATTAGCTGATTTTCTCGTCCAGGCTTGCTTATTACAGTTGTTCCAGTTGTTTTAAACTTTTTAACTTCTTTGCCGATTGTAGAAATGGACAAGTTTAAGCAAGTAAGCGCAGAAGATCAACACACACCAGCCTGATGGGAATGGCATGTTGTCTTTTATTTCCAATTTGAATAGATGCTAGGAGAAATTAATGTTTGGGGTACCTTTTTCTCTACTTGTAAGGGCTTCGGTGATTAGAAAAACATCCCAGCATTAATTTATATATATTTATGAATGCTTTTGTCATGTTTGTTTTTAAAGCATACAGTTCTATAGGTGCCACAAATTGTGAAACTGTTCATTTTAAACTATAATCTCTTTGTGTTTCTAAAACACAGAACAAAATGTACTCAGATTACAGGCTGGATTTTAATTAACTTATTTATTTGACATGCTACAACATTAAAAGATGAGTGTTTCAACTGTGTTTCACACCAACTGTCAAGAAATGCGGACAAGAATGGAAGCACATTAGAAAGGCAGCATTAAAGATGAACAAATATAGATCTTCACATTAAAACTTTTGGGTAGTCTAAGCAGTATTTGAACCAAGACTTTGTGAAAGGGATTATGAAAAAGCCTAATCATGTCTTTACTCCTCTTTGAGAAGTCAGGTCATGATGTTTCCTGACCACACCCGGCAATAAACTCAAGATAAACTGGCCAACCATTTTCCATACAATAAAGTTTTCATTTTGCTGTAAACAAAACTGAAACTAAGGAAAGTCACTGTTTCTGTCCCACTTATGCTGTTTTCTGCGAACATTTAAACAGTGCTAGTGTCTGTAGTTTCTCTTAAAGAATTATTAGCCATTTATCACAACTTTCCCAAAGGAGCAGAAAAATTTAGTCTGCAGGCAAGATCTGGGAGATTAAGGTTAAATCTCATCTTCAGATGAATTATGCAACATTTGCGTGCGCTGTTTTAACAACTCACTGTTATTTCAAACCCATCACTGCTGAACATTCTCACACATAGCTGAGGCTTTCACTCCTTAAAGTGATTAAGTTTCAGACAGGAAGATGAAATTCTTCATACCTTCGCATTGCATAATTTGTTTGTTACAGACATTTGTCCTACTGTTTGCAAGTGGTGCGTGAAGGGAGCAAATTCCTTTACAGAGACTTCATAGGGAGGTTTTTATGAGGTCTTTGACACACTGTGCTGCTGTTTTGGAAGTTTTCACTCCTTTGTGTTTTGGCTGTTATTTGACTCTTTTTATGACCCTAAAGTCTGATGATCAGTCATTGTATGGTATGTGTTCACAACTCTTCAAGTTTGTCACATGATGGCACTTTTGAGACTGAAAATGAGACAAAAGTGGCGCAGCATTGCAGTCACCTGTCGTCGCCTCTAGATAAATGATATTGTTTGGTTCATTTCTGTTGAATCACAAATCCTGGTCCAATCTGGACCTTTTGGCTTTGCCTCAAACAACAATCATACCAATAAGTCCTCATAGAAACTTCCTGCAAGCGTTGTTTTATTTATAATAGAAGATTTTCTGACTGCTGCCACCATGTTATTTTTATGCAAATACAAAATATTATCCAGGCTGTGCTAAAGAATAACTGTAATTACCGCTATTGACTCCATCAGCAGGGCTCCAAATGAAACAGTGATAGTAATACTCATGCAGCCAATCAGGTGAAGACTGCAGTAAATGAGCTTTATGTCCTCTGCATGGTCTGTACTCATGCAAACTAGATCATGAGCCAAAGAGATTAGAACAGTCATACAGTCCAGCAAAGCAAAGGCTGGTTAAAGTTTAACTGGTATGGATAATCTGCATCATTACAGCTTTTATCCAGAGAACAGTTATGTTCTCTGCCTCCAAACAACTGAAAAATTTAAGAGTAACTACATTTTCCAGAGTGAAGCCTAAAAGTTATGCAAACAGTTGTACAGATTTTGTTTTATCCAAATAGTCAGCACATACAAAATGGGGTTTGTTTGACTTCTTAATATGATAAAAAGATGGCAGTGAATTTACAATTATGAGCTTTTATTTTATTTTTGTATGCTCACACAAATACACCTAATTTATTTCTATATATTTTTGTCAAGGTAATTATATGTAATAACTGAGGAACAGCAATAAAATATCCAGCTCTCTGATAACAGTGAAACAGTGATGATAAACATTAAAGAAAGCACAAGATTGTGTGAAAGCAAATATTTATAAAGAGAAAACAAACGCTGAGATAAATATCAAGAATGTCCTCAAGATTACCTGTAAAATTAAATCTATAAAAATTTCACTGCTCAACAATCCACCTTGATGTTTTTGTGTTTCGCATACTGCGTGTGAATGTTGTTGAATGGGATTTTATTTTCCTGAATATGTATTGATTTTCCTTTCTAAAATTACATCAGCCTGACCTTAACCCACAAAATTAAACAACACTGAAAACTGCAGCTTGTTAGAAAAAAACTGAAGCAACAGCAAATCAAACTTTAAATCACCAAGACCTTTTATCAAAAATGCAGTTATGAGGTTTAAATAATGTGTTATTAAAAAAATTTTAATAACACATTATTAAAATGTGTTATTAATAATTCTTCATACCTTCGCATTGCATAATTTGTTTGTTACAGACATTTGTCCTACTGTTTGCAAGTGGTGTGTGAAGGGAGCAAATTCCTTTACAGAGAGTTCATAGGGAGGTTTTTATGAGGTCTTTGACACACTGTGATGCTGTTAGAAAAAATCAGCATCACAATCTTTATCCCGAAGTTACAGATCTGACTTGCCGACTTCCCATAACTCCCTTCTAACTCCCTTCTTCCACCACTTTCAACTTTCAGTTGAAAGTGTCAAACCACAAAAGAATTATTTTAATAAATTTATCAGAAGAAATTGCTTTCTCACAATGAACTTTACTTTCTTCCCCCCCAATCTGTCCAAAAAATTGATTTATTTTCAAGGTAAGGCAAGCAATAGCCATTGCATGTAAAGACATCAGATAACTGTTTTCAATAAAATCTGAAAACAGTCTGAATGACTAAAGATAAGTTATAGCTTATTTTTCATTGATAGTTTTATGCACACTTCAACAGGTGAGAAGGCAAACTTCTTCATAAATATTCTTCAAGAACCATAAAGAATCACTTTCAGTTCAAATCAAAATTTGGTATTGTGAGAACAGACCTTCTAGATTCAGTTGCTGACTTATTAGTTAAGTATGTCTTAATCAAATCAGAATATTGAACATACCTGTGAAAGAAGAGTAGAATGGACAACATAGTCTGGTCGATTTTGCTGCTGCAGATGCCCTCATTGAGGAGAAAGCAGGGGTCCCTCACCACCGACTCCAGGGAGTCCTGCCTCATGATGTTGTTCAGCTTGTCTGTGTTCAGGTTCTGGTACATCAGCTGGCTGCGGAGCTGGCGGAAGTGGTTCACACTGGGGCTGGTGGGGCTTGGTGGCAGGGCCCCCGCAGTGCCATGGCTTCGGGTCGGACTGCTGGACAGGGAGTCATCGCACCCGTTGGCCAGGTCCAGGCAGCAGCTGCAGCAGTCCAGGCCTATGGGCGAGCGGCAGTCTTCATCTGACATCTTCGTGGGTAGGTGAGTGAGAAAAGGGTGCAGGTGCAGGAATGACAAAGACTGATGTGAGGACAAAGTGGAAGAAGTTCAGGGACAGTCTAGTGTGTCATCCTGTCCCCACGTCTGGCCTGGGCCAGTGAGGCTAAAACGTCAGGTTGAGCTCCTCCTGAGAAGTCGCCACGCACTCTGCCTGCTTCTGTCAATGAGTCTCCCCTCCTGTGGCTGTCCTGTGTTAAAGCTTTTTTGTTCCGAACCGACGTTGCTGCACTGTTTTGCTACAGTGGCAGGAAAATAGAGTTCTAAGCAAACATTCTCTCGCCCCGATTCAGCGGGAGTCCTCTTGTAAGCAAAACCCAGAAGCTGCTTGCTGCTTATCACTGTTTTCCCTGAACTTTTTTTTTTTTTTCGGTTGGCGTGCCTAGAGACACGGAGGAGGGAGCAAAAGAGGAGGGAAGGACGCACAGAGGGAGTGGAAAGACCTGTGATTGGTGAAAAGCATCACTGTTTGCAGAAACTGGTCCCTCCTTCTTTCTCCTTCAGATTACCAGAGTGAGTACAGGAGAGAGGGAGGGCACCTTGGTGAGCATGCTTGAAACATGTGCAACTGCTGACAGCCCCAGGAGTGTCTGAGAGAGAAAGTTTTGCAGCAACTCTAACCTGTGAGAAGATGTGCTAAGTTGTGAAAATAAAAGTACACAAGGGTTGCCTCAGCTAAAGGTGTCACGTTTCATTGAGAAGTCCTGCTTCTGGTTATGACTTTACACAGTTTATGGCTTTGCAAAAAAAAATCCCCGTTGCATTTTCTCCTATTTTGTCACGTTCCAGTCACTCAAATAAATGTCTTTAGAGCACAAAGTGTGATCTAAACAATTCCTTTGTAGATCTCATTGTACTTTTAGGGTTATTGGAAAACCTCTGACCTCAAGCTGAGATTTTTTGCAGCACTCCATCCATCTTCCAAACAACTGAGACCAGCTTCCAATTTTCTACTTTTCCTACTTTAAATAAGCATCTCCACAGGATGCCACCACCACATTTCACAGTAGAAATGTTGAGATCAGGTCACATAGAAAATTTTGCAGGAAGGCCAAAAAGTTCAGTTTTAGTCTCATCTGACCACTAAAAGTAAAAGAAAAGTTCAAGACTACAGAGTTTTAAATTGAGCATCTAAACAAGTTTGAGCATTTATTTTGTATTTGATTGTAACTGATGGTCTTTATCTGCATGACTTCAAGGCAGAATCTGACATTAATGAGCTTGTTTGCCAAAATAGATTCAGTGTGTATGTTCTTTTCTTTGTTTTTTGTTGTGTGCATGTGTGTGTTTGTTTGCGCGCGTTTGGCATATAAAACCATGTCAGTGAGAGCAGGGCACTCTGTGTTCTCAACTTGCACACAGCCATAATCTTATCAGGCCCCCACTGTGTTTGATAGCAGTTTTGTCAATTTTCATATCTCTTTTAAAACTGTGGAACTGTGTGTGTCATGTTCATGCCCTGCAGAAATATGCTTCACAAGCTTTAGTGCAAACCAGCACAGTGTCATTACCACCGCGCTGATGCTCCAGGATGATGGCACTGCTGACCTCGGCCGCTGACCAATGAGTGTACTGCATGTTGTCAACAGATGGATGGTCACGCAAGAACACGGCAACAAGATAATTGTACTCTGAAGTGTCAGGCTGTTTCTGCTGCAGAAAAAAATATATCACAGCACATATTGTAGGGGAGCAGGGGGATCAATTTAGCAGAGAAAATGACTGACTATTGCTTTATTGAGTGTGTAATGATGTCCTCAGGCAGCAAGGCTGCTACAGTTTGGCTGGGTGAGAGCAGAATACCAGTCTAATCTGGGTGTAGGCTGCCATCTAGTGGAAAATAGGAAGCATTGAGGAATTGCTTTAAAATTAACTGTTTCACAACAGTTTCAGCAAAAGTTTATTTCTGCTTTTACTCTTTCTAGGCTAGCTGCAGGTTGAATGATTCTGTGTGTGGTGCCTCATATTTAGCTAAACAGCTCAACTCTGCAGATAGTATTGTATGCAGCTTCACAGCTTTGGATGTTTTCAAGTAAATTATTCTAACTGCTATTTTAAGACGGTGTTTTCAGTTTAGCAAACAATGTTGCATTTATGGTTTTGCACCAGAATACACTTCATACTTCATTATTTTGCACGTAATTTGAATTATGTGTAAGTATAGGATCACTTTCATAAATTGTATAATACTTTTCAATTGAAACCTTCTACTAAAAGCATTGCTGAGTATTTCCGTATTCAGTGACTGCTTGTATGCACCATAACAGTAAAGATGTGATGGGTCCTCTGTTTGAGATCTGGTTTTCTGCTATCAGCAAGAAATCCTTTCTTTTCATAACAATTTTCATCAGGGCCCTGGTAAAAAGATCAGTTACCTGACTGGGAGGTGATATTAAAAAAAATATCCAGAAAACACTCAGAACAAAACTGATGTCCAAGTATTGTTCAGTATGTAAACAAAGAAAAATATTTATTCTGCACACATTGCATGAAAGAAGGAAATACAAACACTTGAATGGCCTGGTTTCAGTCCTAACATGTTCTCATTCGAGAGTGTGAGGAGAATTGTGAAATGAAAAATGCAAGAAAATGATTCAGTATGGCTACTCCTAAGAAGGTCTTTGAAGAAGGAATGGAACACAATAACATCAGGCAGGCTTTGCTGGGTTGGATCTTTAGTGAATTTTTGTGAGACGTAACTTTGACAAGAAGAAGAGGTGAAAGTTTTGCTGTCTTATGTTTTGTGGCTATATGCTTACAGGACAGGTACGCATGTCTAGACATTCTCCAGCATCAGAATTAACCAATCATTTGATCTAGGGTAATATGCAGGACACTTGCTCTTGAGACATAACTTTAGACACCATATGGTTCTAAATTGTGCGCTTAAAGCTGTTTTTCTTGTTTGTCTCTCTGTCACCCCCTAATGAACTGGCAACCTATCCATGCTTCCCAGGGTATTTGGGAAGCATGCAAGAAAAGAATATTACTTACTGTTGCTCAAAAGCAATAGTATTAGAAGATGCCTAAATCCTAAATGTTTAAACTGAATGAATCTTTGTCTGAAAGAAAACACACTGAAACTGACACCAAGTAATGAATGCATGTTGAGAGTTTTATCTCTGCTTGTTATCTTTTGTTTGAGGTCTTGTTTTAACTTGCTTGGACAGAAATTAAGTCTCTGGACATTTAGATTGCACCATGCCAAATGATGCAGAAAATGTGTGTAAAACATTGATTGGTGGGGAATTGCTTTTTCACAGACAGAGTCCCAAAGCTGTCTAAACTAGGTCACAGAAAGTAGGATAGTAGATGTTCTGTGTTACCGTGGCATGCTTCCAAAATCTGCTCAAATAATTCTGATAATTCAGCCCTGACATGTCCTTGCCTTTTGCTTCAAGATGCACAATTGCAAAAGCCCAGCTAGTATGACTTTATTTAAGTTTAAAATATTTGCTGTCATTTACGTTTCAGAGCAACTTAAGCTCAAAAACAGGAACAAAATGGTAAGTATAACCAGGCTTGAAATCATGAGTAAACCTAAGCTGTTTATATCTATAAAGAACATTTTATAATAGATGTTCAATATAAAACCAAGCATGTGGACAGATATATAATTTGGTCTTCACAAGTCATTTGGCTTCACCTTGCTAAGCTCTTGGATACTGAAAGACTTTCAGGAAACCTTTGTTGAGTGAAATTAGTGATTAATTTACAAAAAAGTATCATCAGGATGATTGACGTAAAATCTGCCTTAGTCCATCAGTAAAAATCTTGCAGTCTTGTATTGTGGAAGAAGATTGATAAAACACTGTTTTGTAGATATTGTAGTATGGATGTAAGACTCTCTGCCAGTGTACATTTTTTAGTGCAGAGATTGCATCCTCATATGCAGCCTGGAAAATGAGAAAAAATATTCAACTTGTGCCTAAACTGTGAAGTGTAATAATTGCATTTAAGGAACATAAAAAACACAGAACTACCTGTATTACTAAGTGAGGCTGAATATTTTCTGTTTTTGGTCAGTTAGTAATTACCACAACTATTTCTAAACATTATTAGAAATGCTGGCAATCAGAGAATTTTGCTGCATTTTGTGTTTTCAAGCACAAACAGCAGATAAAACAAGTTCACTCTGCTATGGCATTAATGTTACAAATAAACGTAAATAACACTAGAGGGCAGTAAAAGCAAACGAGTCATACAGTATGCTTTTGTGTATTACATTATACTAATTATGCATCTAAAAGGCAATACGACTTGTTTTTTTTCTGCTTAACATTTCAGAAGTTGCAGAATGTGCTCATAACTGGAGCTGGCATTTTCAATGTGGCACTTGTGTTTACATTCTAGTAGTTTTGTACATTTGGTCTCTTCATTTGAGAAATGTGCAAAAGAGCATGAAAAAAAAGATAAACAGATAATGCTGCATCATTGTTTAGAAAGCGACCCTCCTCTTAATTCATGGAATAATTTTGGAGTCCAGTTTTTTGTAGGTGAATACAGAATCAATCTATGACACTGTCTCCATCCCAGTGCATTATTTCTTTACTGCTACTCTCACCTGTGAATTTGATCCTCTGACTTGGGCTGCAATTGGTCAAGACACCAGACCCAGACAGACTCCTATCCTTGGTTGGCAAGATATGGCAAATAATCTTAAGCTTCTCATCCCCTCTAAGGATTAACTTTGCTGTCCAGTCATCTTTCAGAAATGCAGCACCTCTGGTTAGTCTTGGATTATAGAAAAAAAAGTTAAGCAGGCAATCTCCCATCACAGGAGCATACGGCACTGAACTCAAGTGGTGAGCAAGTGCTTGCCATAAAGTAGATTTAGGCCATATATTAAATCGGAGAAGTAATTGTCAGGAAACCTATATCTGAGCACATTGCCTAACATGGCTGGTTTTACTTTCTTAGTGCCCTGCTCTACCACCTTCCTCACTACTCAACTTCAGTTTTATTTACACATTTTCCTTTTTCTTTTTAAATTACACATTCCTCTATCTACCAGTTTGTCTTCCTCACTGAGGAAACATAAAATAAACTACCTTCTACAGTGTAGAATCTACACTGTTTTATCCACCCTAGTCTTTGCAGCCTGGCTTCATTGATAAAACTTCTCTGACATTTAATTATATTTTTTAATGTTAATGTGATGTGCAAGGAAAATGTTGGTGCTTGTAAGTACAATCTGTTGTCAGATAAACTATTAGTCACATGTTTAAAAAATGTGGCCTTTAAAGAAAAGACAAAACATTTGCCACAAATTACCTACACAAGAATATAGGAGAGACATCAGATGGATTACATTTGGTT